GGAGTACAGAGGTACCGGAGGTAGAGGCACCGCGAGATGCACGTTATTGTCTCCAACCAGGGCGTAAGGCCCCTGGACCACCTCAACCAGGACTATCCAACTCGTTGGCCTCTTGACGTAAGAAAATGGATAGTTTTTCCCCAGCTCGAAGGTATCAACTTTGAGGTTGGTACGAATCACTCCAACATAGGAACAAGAACGAGCGAAACCAGGGGTCTGGTGTACATGTCCGCCTCGGAGTCGTCCGATTGCATCCAGCGGTCAGTTTCCTTGACAACCGCTTTCCATTTGTGGCTACCCGAAAAGGCATAGCCCGATTGCATTCCCGCCGCTGTTTGGGAATGAGGAAACAATATAGTTACGTTTTAATTCATGAGTAATGCAAGTAGATATTCTCGTTCCGTTTGAAAGAAGATGTCCAACGCAGGTGAACATGTCAGAATTATCGGAATGTCATCAAACTAAAGAATAATTAATTTAATCTTGCATATTTTTCGGGATGGACAAGGCCTTCTTGGAGCGGCCCGTTCGCCTCCCTACTGAACCCTCTTTGGCACATAGTTTGGCCATAGTGAGTAGTCGGTGGATTCCGTGGAGAAACTTAAGGGAACCGAGAAGATGATTCTAATCCTGCACCAGAGTTAGTAACGAAGACCCTACATCCTCCTTGCGGGGACGAAGAGACATTCCACGAGGATACAAGTGTCGGAATAAGTACGCGCGCGCGCGCGCGCGTGTGCGTGTGTGCGTACGTGTGCGTGTGTGTGTGTGTGTGTTTGAGTGCCAGAGTGAGTCAGAGTCAATGTATGTGTGTGTATCTGATTGAGTGTGAGAGTGTGAGTGAGTAAGCCGTGTGTATGACGGCGACTGAGTGCGAGTGCTTGTGAGTGCCTGCGTGGCTGCGTGTGCGTGCGTATATATGCGTGCGTGCGTGCGTAGGCGTGAGGCCGCTGGCGCACCGCCGCCGCTTCCAGAGAGGTGGGCGCGACCTGCGTCATTCGCCCCCTCTCCCCCTCCCCCTTCCGCCCACGCGCGCTTCCAGATTTACAGCTCCCGCGTTCCACACTCCCTCCCCTTCTCCGCTTCTCCCCCCTCCCCCTTCTCTCTCTCTCTCTCTCTCTCTCTCTCTCTCTCTCTCTCTCTCTCTCTCTCTCTCTCGCTCGCTCGCTCGCTCGCTCGCGCTCATTCGCTTTCTTTTTTTCCTTCGCTGCACCCATTCCAACTACTGAGAGCCAGCGCTAGCATCCTCTTGCTCGCGAAGCAGGAAAGAGCACTCCCCTAAGCGAGAGATTGAGATCAATAGTTTGCCCTAACGCCTAATGTAATCATCAGGATCCATCTTCTGTCCTTCTCAACAGTGCTTTAGGGGGCGACAAACATATTACGCAACACATGGCATAGTCGGTTTGGGTTTATTGATGTGCTACGGAAAAGTTGGCAATAGTAAAGTACATCTGAAAATATTGGTAATGAAAACGACGACAAAATGCCATTTTGACACTTGTTTTTTTAAGTCAGACAAAAAGTGTGGATTTAAAGTGGAGATCACGTACTCAGAAGAAAAACAGCAAAATAGAAATTTGCCAAGCGAAGCCTGTCAAAGTATCGCGAAATCTAGGGTCTAGGCATCACTATTTCCCTTTGCCACCAAGTTGCTCTCCGAGAAAGAGTTCATTTTGAGGACCTTTACGCCCAAATCTCTCCCCAACAGAAACGAGCCCGAAATACAGGGACCGCCTCCGGTCCTGCGGGTCGGAGGTCGAGCCCCGAAGCGGGCGCCGGTGACGGATATCGAGGCCCGCGCCTCCGCCGCATCTTACGTCAGCGCAGCGAGGCCTCAATCGATGGCGCTGACTGCGCCACTGCAGAGGCGCCTCCGCCCGCGGCCCTTGCTGCAGCTGCCTTCCGGCAAGCAACCGCCCGTGACGTGACGGCTCCCAAGCGATTGAGAGTTTTAAAAGGAGACTGCCAATTTATTTTTTTTTAATTTAAAAATTGAAAAAATATTTTTCAAAATCGCTGAGAGTGTAGGCTTTTGTGGCCGGAGTCAGTAGCTACATGGCTGACATGAACACACTACGTCCTACACACAGGTGCCAACGGCATTTCGCCCTGAGGAAGGTCGCAGAATGGCAGTCGAAACGTTGGCACAGAAACGGCAGGCGAAACTTCTGCCTAGGACCAACGTCTCCCGAACAGCCAACTAATAAAAGAAATTCGAATTCGCACTAACCCGAAGTTTAAATTGTTCTAATCAATAGTCACGATAGGGACCCAAGAATCCAGGTTCGGGCCCAGTTACTCTAATCACTGAAACACCAAACTTTCTAACAGGCACGATTTATTACCCATTGTTCACTTCAAGTAATTCAGGAGGCGACACTCGTCTTCCTCAATATTCAACGAAAAGCGTTGCGATGTCACTTAGACTATGGGTTTCTATACGCACTCGCTGCTGCAACTCGCCGGGGCGCCTCCAACTACCAACAGTTGGGGGTCTCCCGTGCCGCGACGTTTCTCAAGTGACTGAGGAATTTACAAGGAGCCCCCCTCGCCAACCCCCCCAAAAAAATCATCGAGGAAAGTGAAAGATTCCGAGGTCGGTATCGGTAGCTACTTGACTGTCCGGGAGACGTCACTGACCCAATGGCATTTCGCCCTGAGTAAGGTCGCAGAATGGCGCAAATCGTTTGCATTTAGTAGTGTCTTCTTAACAGCCAAGTAACTTAAAAAATCGAATTTACTCTAACGCGATGTTTAAATTATTCAAAGCAATAGTTACCCTAGCGAAGCGAACCGAACCGAACCGGAGCCTCCCAGTTCTGCTCGGTTACTTTACCCACTACGCTTCTGAGGCGACCAAAGCTTCGAACAGGCTCTTAGTCATGATGTATTGCCCATTGTTTATGCCAAGTAATACAGGTGGTGACAGTAGTCTTCCGTAATATTCAACTAAAAATGTTGCGATGTCACTTTCGCGAAGGGTGTCTGTAGGTTTCCATTGCATATTACATAAGGCAATGCTCTTGCTTCCCTCTCAAAGAGAAGAAGTGTAGAGTTTTGCCCCTCTCACCAAAGCATCCAAAAAGAATTTGAGGTTCGCATGAGGTACTCCCAGAGAGGAGTTTTAGAAGCAGCCAGAGATATCAATTACAACGAAATATAAACTTTTGGGCATTATTTTAAAAGTGCAATTCAGCCAATATTTGCGAAATTCGATGTAAGTAGATGGTGCAATATCTCGCAATTCCCAGCAGTGCAATCAATAAGCACTTGACATCGTATGACCAATCGACAGCCAGTTATAAAGGGAAATTTTAAGTTACGAGTACTGCATTCTCCTATAATAGTTTCACTAAAATACAAATAAAATATCTGAATTTTAAATGTTTGTTTAAAATTAACACCGAACAAGCTATCTTCCAAAACGATTTCATTCAAATTATTTCGCAGTCATACGTCTAGAGTTTCTGATCAATTTCTATAGATAATTAAACTCAAATGAGCTTAATTGCAGGTACCATATCGTCGGCAACATGTCTGAGAAACCGCGTTCATCACGAACAAACAATGTAATATCTCACTTGCATCTTAAATTCCAGCCCACGTCCTTCTTCATTAAATAAAACTACGACTCAGGCGGATGTTTCTCGCTCATAGGAATCGTCTGTCGTAAGATGCTGTCACGTGACGTAACATTTTCCGTGTTAAGTCTCATTACGTCAGTCTGTAGCTGTTTTATACTTCGGAATACTCATTCATTAGTCATCCCTACGCAGTATACCTTCATTGAGAAGCCATTCACTGTCACTCGAAAACAAACTGCGAATTCACGTAACAGAATTAAATACCAGGGAAAAACCTGCTTCCACAAGAAAACATAACGTGGTTCCTATGCAAGTCCGTTATCGGGAAGCGGTCGGGTCTCACCGCGGTGGGAGCACGTGCATTTGTTTACAACCTGCGAGCGCTGGCGGTGGGGGCGGTGGCGGTGACGCAGTAGCCGCGTCGGCCGCCGCGCGCGCTAGCTCCGCTGCCGCCCCCGCCCCCCTCCGCGCCCGCCCTCACCCAGCCGCGGCAACGCAGCGCTGCGTTCAACCGGCCGGCCGCCTCCGTGGCTTTCGCTGCGCGAAAGAGATGCGGCGGGGGTGGGGTGTAGACAGAGAGTGGTGGTGGTGGTGGTGGCGGCGGCGATGGCAGTGACAGTGGTGATGGCAGTGACCGAGGTAGCGCCGGAAAAGGCGGCGGCGGTGACGAAGGAGGCGGAGGGTGGTGGTGGTGGGTGGCTGGTGGTGGTGTAGGCGGGGATATCTCAAGGCGTTTCACTCACCCTGCATGCGAATTCACATAAAACGTATTTTTTCGTAGTAGAAGTCACGTAGCTCTTAGCCGCCCAGGCGATGTCGCTTAGTAGACTAGTTACGTATGACACAAAAAAAAATACTATTTGCATTTTGAAAAACTTATTGCGATATTAAAATTATAATTTTAATCTTACGATTCATACCAAATCTGCTAGGCAGAGATACTGTATTTTATACGTCAGACATATTTGCACGTTTTTGTTTCTCGTGGATTACGTACGTAAAATAGTATTAGTGAAATAAATACATTCAGGATATTTTATTTCTGATATAAGGTTGTTATGAGATAAATACCTTTCGTGACTAATAAAACAGTTTGTACTAACGCATCCGTAAAATCCCCTTTGTTAAACATCATTCAGATCCTACAAATTCTGTGGCATAAATAACATTACCAGCCTTAAACGCCGACAAAAACCGAATTCCGATTTCGAGGCAACAGCTGGAAGAGGAAACGCATGTATTTCTACAACTTAACTTTTACCATACGTTTCCGAATTACACTGTTGCGCGCACATTTTAAAACTTGTCTGCGGTTTAGACACTAACGCCATTATAATGGGTGGTCACATGCAATTCAGTGTGTTTCAGAATGAATGTTACAAACTTCAGGGTATGTAGGATGGACGAAATGTCTTAGACTGCTACAGGATGTGCATATGCTAAACACCAGTGCACGATGAGGCACCCACCAACCAGGGGCAACTGTGGCATAGAAAACATTATCCTATTCGATATAAAACATTTCCCTCTACACTGGCAAAAGATATCAACTGCTCAAATATTTGCAGTTAGAAAATATATTTTATGTATGTAGTGCTTAGTCACAGTTTCACCATCCTGGCAACAATTGTTTCTAAAAGCAAACCCCGTCTGATCCCGTTGTTAGCTTACAATGAGAGGGTAATTCCATTTCGTTTATCTGCACCCTAAATAGCAATTTTTCTTGTCCAAAAAATGATCGCCGTCGGCCCCTCTTCCTGTCCTGGAAGTTTGTGACAATTACCGCAACACCCTGTATACGCGACACCATTCTAGGAATACAGACGCTCTGCTCAGGTATTTCAGGTAACTGAACGGCCGAGTCCACGAGGCGGTGGGGGGGGGGCAGCAGTTGGCGCCGTGCGAAGCAGTGGCGGGGGCGGAGCGGGACAGCGGTGGTGGTGGTGGTGGTGGTGGCGCAACGATACCTGCGGCGCTGACGTGCGACCACAAACCTATCGCAACTCACGAGTTATCACGAAAGCGAATGTAAGGCCCTCGTGACGAGGAGTCGCACTTGGCGTCGAGCTTGGAAGTGAGCAATGGAGGAAACGCAAAAAGTGGGTGATCGAACTAAATGAACAGCGAAAACCTTGGGGGGAAGGTTTTTGCGTTTGGCCAGAGAATACCTCACAGTGTCGATATATGTATGATTCGAAATTATCTGTTCCTCGATTTCTGGTCAGATGTATATTTCCTAAACGTCCTAAAGAGAGAAGAGCAATTGGCATAGGAGATGACAACATAAAATAGTTTTTTTGTTATTTAGAATTACAGAATTAATTAATCAAATTCCCATAAACATATATGAATGAATTGTCAATGGACAATTGAATGAATTGTTAATGATCAATTCGAGTAACAAACGACATCTTAGAATGAATTACGTGAGTTAACCGATCACTGTCTATTGTCCTTCGATTTTCTGTTAGCAATGTTTAAAATAACTTGGACAGTTTCACCTTAAGGAAAAACCGGTAATACGACATGCAGTATGGTTAGGTCTTTACACTAATGCGAAGAAAATACAGGATTATCATTCATGAGAAAACGATATTCAAACGTATTCGAGTCGATGCTATTCAGGAAACATTGAATTTCAAATTAGGTGATATTAAAAAGTAGTAATGACTTATCGTTTATTATCGTTTGACCACTAAAAATCAGAATGGGATATGTTTTAATAATTTAGTTCCAAAAAACTATAGGGGGAATCTATGCGGTATCTTATCCCTCTATCGGTGTGCATTTGAGTTACAAAAAGTGTTTCAGGATTCCGAAGTAGCTCAATTTAGATCTGATCGAGCTCACAGTAAAATTCCGACGTCAAATTATTTACTCCTAGAAAACATTGGCCGAACATAAAATCGGAATCATTGCTAAGAACCAAAACATTTCTGATGTTAAATTGAACAAATTTAAAATGTGAGTTCCAACATTTACAATCTATAGAAAAACTGTGATCATCATTTAAATTAAAATATTTTACACATTAAGCCCTAAAAAGAGGTTGCACCAAAAACAAGGTGGGGTGAATTATAAGATTCTCAGTTTATAACAAACCTTTGCTACTATTAAACGACTTTAAAGGACAATTTTAAATCTTGATGCAATAGAAAGACTACGTATTGTTCTGTGGTGCCCCACACCGGCCAAGACTACAAAACAATGGTTGCTTGTGTTCGAATGTATACTTTGTGGCCAACAAGCTTAATTCTATTACATAACACCTTCAAGAGAACGAGTGATAAATAGAACGTAGTTGCACTAAAGAATTTAAAAAGAATTATTTAAAAACTAACAAAAAAACTGAACCACTTCTTCATAATTCTCACGTGTTTGTATGAGTTAATGGATTAGTCAAAAAGGCACAAATGGAAATTTATAAAACTGATCACGGGAAGATGTTTTTGGCTATTATATAAATTCTGGCAGCAGACGCAAATACAAATAATGGAAAACTATCAAGCTGAACATAATTCCCCGGCGTTTCCCAGGATTCTTAAAATGCTCCCTTTTGCCCGTTTTCAATTTTCCATTGGTTCTCTGCCTCCAGTATCCGCTAATTGCTTACTATATACAAATTTGAAAAAATAGAGCAGTTCGCGAGTTAAGCCAGTGGCGGATCCGGGGGCACGAGGCGTGGGGTCCATGCCCCCCCCCCCAAAAAAAAAAGGTCAAGCGTTTTCGTTTGTTGCATTTGGCAAAATTGATTCAAATATTTAATAGTGTTGGAATCTAATTATTTAAAAAATAACATTGTATAGTGTCATAAATAATAAACCATATAATAACATGTGTTTATTATTTCACCAAACTCTATGATTCCCCCCTGGAGTAAGCGGATAGTGAGTTACGGAAGCGAGAACCCTACTTCAGAGGAGAAGGAGCGAGAGAGAACGAGAGATGTCAGGGGAGAACGAGCGAGAGTGAGAGTGAGAGTGAGCGAGAGGGCGACCGAGACACGCGCCCGGTGCACATGGCGCCGCGCGGCGAAGGGCGGGCGGTGGCGGGCGGGGGCGGGGCGCCCGCGAACTCGGCCGACGGGCCCTTCGTGAATGGAAGTTTCCCGCGGCGAAGGGCCGGGCCCTCAAAGGGCCGCGCGGCAGGTCGATGCAGGAGGCAGAGTGAGAGAGCGATGCCCTTTCCCCGGGCCGAGGCACGGAACGGGAAGGGACGGAGAGGGGGGGCTCGACAAAAACAGGTCGGGCCCCGTGTGCGTGCACCGAGACAAAAGTGACGAAATTTCTGTTTTGCTTCGTCAGACAAACACGTGGAGCTGCGACGCTCTTATCGGTGCGTTTTGCGAGGAAACTGGAAGCGAAACAGGTATTCCAGCAATTCGAAATATAAACATTTGGAATTCTTCGCTGACTCCTGACAACTGCGGAGTGAATCATTGGCCATTTGCACATTTAGCTACCAAGTTATTCATAGCGCAAGCACGCGCGTTTTCAAAAATTCACCACGGGGACTGAAAGGTACGCCATGGTGCAAAACTACACGAGCTGATGGAAAGCTGCGTCTGACGACACAAGGGCACGTGCTCCACACAGCATACGTGTTTGTTTGTTCTCTCTCACTGCACCCCTTCGCTCCAGGCTCTCGCCAAGAAGCGCATGCAAGCAGGTGAGGGGGAAGGCAGCGGGCACTCACCTCCTCCGTTCTGCTGGCACAGGTAGGGGAAGCGCCAGATGTTGCCGAGCCCCACCGAGTAGCCGATGATGCTGAGCATGAACTGCATCTTGTTGCTCCAGGCGGCGCGGTCGGGCCCGGCGGCGTCGGGCGGGCCGCCGGCGGCGCTGACGACGCTGCGCCGGCGCCCCGCCGACGCCCGGCGCGCCGGCACCACGAGCCGTAACGACGCCCCGCCCGCGCCGGCGCCGGCGCCTTGGACCGCGCGTTTGAGCGGCGCCAGCTCGTGGCCGTTTGCGCGGCTCCGCCTTCGCCACCATCGTCATCGCAGAAGCACCCCGGCGCGCGCTTCCACCGCAAGTCCGGGCGCCGGTCGCCGTGCCTACAGCGGTCCCAAGCACGTGAGCTCTCTCTGCTCGCCACCGGATCGGGCTCGTGAGTGGACCGGGCGTGTGCGCTCGTGGCGCGGCACCGCGCTCTTTTCTGGAGGGGGCGTGGAGCGAGGCGGACAGACCGGTGGCACTGTGTTGCGGGAGGACCTGCGCGCCGCCGAGCGGACTTCGCAACTGCAATCCCCGCGCGCGCCGTTTTGACAAGAGGCAGCGGCGCGTGCGGTGCGCCGGCCGCGCGAAGCCACGCCGCCGCGCGGGAGAGGGGGGCGGCGCGCGCGGAGTGGAGCCAACGAGCGGCCGTGCAGCACCGTGGGCCCCCGCGAGGCCCCCCTCAGCACCCCCCCTCCCCCCGCGGCAACCGGGGCCCGACGCCGCACGACCCGGGCCTCGCAGACCCGCGCCCCAGCAACCCTGTTCGGCGCCCGTTGTTACCAAACAAATCCCGCCTCGCCGCCACGGCCGTGGACGCCGCCCGGGCGTGCTCCTGACTACGGGGCGGACCGCGTTATTAGGCGATGAGAGCGCTAATGGCCCGTACCGGCGCGCGTCGGCCCCGCGCACTCACGCTCTCGCGCCCCACCGCCGCCGCCTTCGCTCACGGGGCCAGCGAACTCCGCGCGCCACATGGGAGCGAGCCCGCGAGGAAGCGGGGCAGATGTCCACGAGGCGCTTATTAAGGCGGCGCCACACACGCGGCATTCGGCGAATCCCTAGCAACCGCTCGCCGAATCCCGAGCAGTGAGCACAGGTTGCTTGCGATTCGGTGTTCGCCCTGCCCAGCGCGTGTCGGTCATTTGCACGCATCAAAGCAAGCGAACATTCGCCCTGCGCATCAGCTGCTCGGGATTGGGCGAGCAGGAGGTCGCTGCTCGGCGAATGCCGAATGTGTGGAACCGCCTTCACCCAAGGATTTATTTAACCGTGCACTTGACGTAAATCAACTGTTCGCGATTTCATCCAATCGGAAGCTTGAACCACCCCAAAGTGACACTGTAGCGACATTTAAGCTCCCGGTTGGATGAAACCGCAACAGCTGATTTACGTCAAGTGCACGGTTAAATAAATCCGAAGATAAAGGTCATTCCACACATTCGGCATTCGCCGAGCAGCGAGCTCCTACTCGCCCAATCCCGAGCAGCTAATGTGTTCAGAGATTGTTTGCTTCCTTCGTTGTGAACAAAACCGACAAGCGGTGGATAGCGCGAGCACCGAATGTTCGTCGCTCGGCATAGAGCAAGCGACCAATCCACACTACGTGGTTTCGGCGAGCGATCGCTCGCTACTCACCGAATACCGGATGGGTGGAGACGTCTTTACGCGAATTGTTGCTTTAGAAGCAGCACTTGCTTCTGAGCTGTTGGAATTTCTATTATCAACGAATTAAGAGTCAAATATCTAATACTGAGTGAAACTATTTCACGCATCATAATTCACTGAGTTTAGCAACAACAAATTACAAGTTAATTCTTCCCGTACTATCTTTCTCGCTTACTTACGTCTTTTATTTTGGTATCTTCGCTTTTGGTGATTTATAATTCAGCTCGTTCGAGTAATATTAATTGAACATAATTTAGCTATCTGCCGACACGATGCACTTTGAACCCAATTTAGTCCTCTAAGCATCGTGGACTGTAAGGTCCTAGGATTCGAGTCCAGACAGTCGGATGTACGCAGCACGGTCGAATTCAGCCAATCTGGAAGGCAATAATTCTGGTGGATTCAGATCTGAAAGACAATAATTAAGGACGAACAGAAGAGTTTTTATGTCTCTAAATATCTGAATTAGCTCGTTTTGAAACAAATAAAAAATTTTCGGCTCGATAAGTTCTTGACTAAGTACTTTTTGGTAATATTTTATTTCCATTTATATCTGGTTATATTAATCAAATTCTTATAATCAGGGATAATTTCGAAATAAAAACTGACTTGGTGGGTTTTGGAAATCCTCTCTTGTAGAATTATTCTAGCTGCCTACTGCTCTTTTCGGAAGTTTTTCCCCCTAATTTCTCTGATCAATATGAGGCGCATTCCGGGACAGTAGCCTAACAAAGCTGCCATGGAGCGCAATCTTTCCTTCCTCATCGTTGAGTCCTCTTTCCGTATACGTCGAACATGTCCTAAACTTGCAGGTCAAATATCCGAAGTATTCGGCGCTCCCTAAAAAAGCAATTACTTGCTGTCTGCAACGTCTAAAAATATAACTTTTTAATTTTCGAAACATATTACAATCGCGTAGTGGAAACCAGCAATTATAGCATTGTTTATTTTACGTGAATCTTAAAATTCAGTCTTACCACCCACGTTTTCCAGAGAGACACACATTTGTACGTTTCTACGGGAAAAAGCGTTACATGAGATTATGACAGGCGAACTTTCTCTTCCTGCGCGTTCCCAGTCTTGACCGCTGCTCTTCCAGACGGAAACTTCCACTTCGCAGTGTCGAAGAGAGGCAGCGGGTGCGCAGGAGCAGCTTGGAATTTCTCTGCGGTCGCCTCCCCTCGCTGAAAGGAGCGTCCTCGAACAGCCCCCCCCCCCCGCCATCCCTCTTCGTCCGGCACACAATGGCCACGCAGCGCCCAGCCGCGCCACAGCTTGCTGCCACTCGGGGTCCCCCCGTCGGCGCTGGGGGCTCTTCGGGCGGAGATGATACATTGTGGGTCACCGATGCGAGGGCAATTCAACCTGCGTACAGTGCGGTCACTGTCACCATTCCTGCCTCTGTTGCACTCTATCTCTGCATTTCTCTTTCTCTCTCTCACGTTCTCGCTCGCTCTCTCTCTCTCTCACGTTCTCGCTCTCTCGCTCACTCTCTTTCACTCACACTCTCAATCTCTTTCACTCACTCTCTCAGACTCTCAATCTCTTTCACTCACTCACTCACTCTCACTCACTCTCTTTCACTCACTCACTCTCTCACTCTCATTCCCTCATTCCCTCACTCTCATTCCCTCACTCTCATTCCCTCACTCTCATTCCCTCACTCTCATTCCCTCACTCTCTTTCACTCACTCTCTTTCACTCACTCTCTTTCACTCACTCTCTTTCACTCACTCTCTTTCACTCACTCTCATTCACTCGCTCCCTCCCTCTGGCTCTCTCCCTCTAACTCTCTCCCTCTCGCTCTCTCCCCCTCCCTCTTTATTTCTCTATGTTCCACTCTCCTCTTTTTCCTCTCTTTCTTTCTCATTGCCTCCTCGACTTTTTTTCTCTTCTTTCATTCAGTCTCGCGCTGAATCTAATGACTTGTTTTCTCTAGTTTTTGCTTCGTGTGGAAGAATTACGCGAGGAGGAATTGGTACGTCAGCAATAGTATTATAAATTATCTGTATTTCGTTTACCGATTGAAACAAGTTTTCTATGACAAGGGAGCGAAATAACTCCTGGTTTTTGTATTTGGCAAACGTGTTCGTTCGTTTTTTATTCAACCATGTACAGTAAAAGGAACGCAAAGATGGTCTGGTGCTCAAGGAAACTAGCATTATACTTCTTTGTTTGATGCGTAAAGGATAGCAAGACACAAATATTATTTTGACATAAAGGAGTTTTAAAAATATACTATTATAATATTTATGTTTTTTTAATCCCATCAAAATGTGGGGACATGAAGTGATATGCAGCTGTTGAATATACCTTCAGTTCAAGGTATTTCAATCGTAATTGGAACTAGACCTCTTTTTAACACAATATGTATTATTTTTTCATATTCATCTTCATCATCAACAGCAACAGCATGGATTAGGCTGATACATAATGTTCCGGCAACGTTGTCTAGAGAAGACATACGGCGCTCACAGACACAGTTGCAAAAGGCCGGTTTTCCTATTGAAAATGCAGAAACGAATAACTCACCGTTAAATGGTCCTCGGACTCTGCACCCACACGTAGTTCCACCTTACATTACTTACCTAGGACAAAATCTCATAAACTCAAAACCCCTTCCCGTAAACACAAAATCAATTATTCGATCAATAAATTACACACGATGTTCGAAAGTAATTTCTTTGTGTGCCGACGATACCAAGTCGAAAAGTTGGAAGTCGATGTTTTTGAGACGGCATTAATGTAGCCGTCTCCCTGAGTAACGTCAGACAGAAGAATAGATTCCTCGCGCGATATCTACCTACCGTTTTACAAAGCATCAGCAGGTTCATCAACATTCGCTATATAATGTAGTTATGAAAAGACATTGATTGAATTGAATTGAATATGCCTTATTTTACGTGGCGATTATCTAGATTACGAGGAATACACATCATACGGTGAGAGTTGAATAATTTTTTTTAAAGATAGCGGACGCGTTGAAATCGCCGTTAAGACTAACACCATCAGTACTTCGTAGATTTACTTTCATTATAATATTGGATAAAAATTGAACAAAATCGTTCAAACGTCAGAGCCAAATCATGTTTTTGAAGAATCTACAATAAATACAATCAATCAACATTTTACTGAAAAGTAGAGGAGCACTTTTCAGCCTCGCTTTATTACGCGCCTAAATAATTACTTCCGTCCAAAGTCAATAGCATATATTCGCAATATAATGTTGGGTACCTTATACAAAAACTTTGGATCAATCTTGTTCTTGCATGTAGTAAGTTCCTCTAACATTTTGCGTAATCGAAGTTTTGCGTGTCCTTGATGTCGGAACATTCGTCTAGGACAAAACGACCGTCCGTCTGTCCGCCTGTCCGTCTGTCCGTCAGTCCCTCCGTTTCGCCGTCCGTTTGTCTGTCTTTGAACAACACTAGCGGCTAAACTGTATGAAGAACTTTTACCAAAATTAATACTTCCCTTATCTGTCAGCTGATGTCGCGGATGTTTTGAGTTTGGGGGTATTTTACATGAAGCCTCTAATGCACTTTAAAATCATACTCAAAAATGGATCCACATTTTTACTTTCACTTTTTTTTTCAGAAAAATCAAAGTTA